CTCTCACTGAGTAACTGGGAGAAACTTCCCCAAAAATAACTCCGCAAACTGATCCCATGTCAATGCTGGCGACCCTGCTGGTCTAGATAAACAATAGTCCCTCTACCAAGTCTTGGCGGATCCTGCAAGCCGAAAGGTGGCGAAGTCGACCCCATTGGTCTCCACAATACCTATAGTCCTAAGGATTTCATGGCAGCTTAATAAGAAATCCTGCAGATCCTCTGAAGAAGCGCCGCTGAAGGTGGTGGTGAAGAGCTTGGAGAACCTATCAAGTCTCCACAAAGCATCCGAAGACATAGCCGCTCCATTGCCGGTCTGAGTCACAATACCCGGCTGAACTGCCACAGCTGGCTGAGCCACTAGAACTTGAGTCTGGGGAGCTACCTGCTCCGGAGTACGTGTAGCAGGAGTCTGAACCCCTCCTCCAGCCTGAGAAGTGGCTGGTGCTACTGGAAGCAAACTCGCTCTAGTAACGCTCTCCACAAAGCCTATCAATCTGACCAGAGCGTCCTGAAGAACTGGGGTGGCTATGAACCCTTCTGGGACCTGAGCTGGGCCCACCGGAGCTGCTGGGGCTGGAGCCTCCTCATCATAATCAACATGAGGCTCCACCTCTGGGACTGCTGCTCGGGGCTGAGCTCTGCCCCGGCCTCGGCCTCTGCCCCTCGCAGGAGCTGCTTCTGGGGGCTCGGGCTGCTACGCGGTAGAAGAGGAAGCACGTGTTCTCGCCATCTATGAAAGAACAGAGTAGAAAGACAATCAGTGTTTGAGAAACAGAATCGCACGACGGGAAAGAACAAAAGTGAAACTTTTCCTAACTCCGTAGCCTCTGGGGGATAAAGACAAACGTCTCCGTACCGATCCCTCAGACTCTACCAAGTTTGTCCGTGAGTAGCGAGACCTATGTAACCTAGAGCTCTGATACCTACTTGTCACGACCCGGATTTTCCACCATCGGGAGTCGTGATGGCGCCTACTAACGGAGCTAGGCAAGCCAAACATTTTAAACAATTTCAGATGACAACACAACAATAACAAGACAACGAGTCTTTAAATAAATGCGGAAGTCTTAAAAAAAAGAACATAATAACTGAAAATCCAAAATGCGGAAGTTTAATATTTCTCTACCCAAGACTGGAGTCGCTATCTCACGAACTACTAAAGAGTGATACAAACAAGTCTGAATAGAAAATGCCTAAATGTCTGTCTCGGTACAATGAAGACAAAACTGAAAACATAGAAAGGGACTCCGGCCTGCGAACGCCAGCTAGGCTACCTCGTAAGTCCCTGGACTGAAGTCAGCTCCTGATCAATATCCTACTGCAGTGGTCCAAAAGCTGCTCCGGTACCGCGATCTGTGCAAAAGAGCACAAAAGTGTAGCATCAGCACAACCGACCCCATCTGCTGGTAAGTGCCTGGCCTAACCCCGGCGAAGTAGTGACGAGGCTAGACAGGACTACCAAATCAACCTGTGCAGTTCAATCTATATATATGCAATAAAAGGAAAGAACAAAGGAATTAAACAGTTAAGAGGGAGGGAAGCATACTATGGGGGAGTACAGTCCGGATACAAAATTGACAATTTAAGTAAGAAGCAGGCAAGAACAATAGTTAATGAGAGCAGGAAAATCAACAGTTGCACGGCATCAACCTTCGTGCTTTTACTCTCATTCTCACCAAAAGCAATCAAATAAAGTGCACGGCATCACCCTTCGTGCTTTCCCTCACATAACTCTCATATCATGGAACGGAATGATCCTTCGTGCAATTATAATCAAATCAGAGCACGGAATGTTCCTTCGTGCATAATAATCAAACATGGCGCGGAATGACCCTTCGTGCAAATATAATCAAAACATGGCACGGAATGACCCTTCGTGCATTATCACTCTTCCTCACCCAAACAGTAATCACAACCAAACGGGGCGAGGGGATAAACAAATAATAAAAAATATCCCGGCAAGGGAATTACACAATTAACAGCTAAATCTCGGCAAGGGGCAACAACAATACTTTCACATCCCGGCAAGGGAGAAAATCAATATACTCAAACCATCCCGGCAAGGGATTAATCACATCACTTTCTATTCCTTTCATTTCTTACTCAATAGTCTTCTTATCATTCGAGCCAACGCTCCAAAGAATTTACAATTCGAAATTAGTCCTCATACTCTTCACATTGCATAGAATACATCAATTAACATGGAGGAGTCATAACAATATCAGGATAAGTACATACAAGGACCCACGGTCATGCTAGACACCGGTGTATAGATACTCGTCACCATGCCTATACACCGTACTCGATCATTTAGCAATTAGCAAATAATAACACTCTAATCCTATTCCTTCAAGCCAAAGTTTGATCAAACACTTACCTCCAATGCTCCAAACTCAACTCAAGCCTCTAGTATCGCTTTACCCTTCGAATTCACCACCAAACCGCTCGAATCTAGTCACAAATTACTTGAGTGTATTAACACATGCTACTTGAATCAATTTGAATGCATGAAACGAAATTTCCAAGTTTGTTCAAAAATCCCCAAAATGCCCCCGGACCCACGTGGTCAAAACTCGAGGTTCGAACCAAAAACCGACTACCCATTCCCCCGTGAACTTCAAATATATTAAGTTATTTTGGAATCGACCTCAAATGACGTGTCCAAAAAACCCCAAATTAGGAACCCTAGTTCTACCCTAAATTCCCAAATTCCCCCATTAAAATCTTTGTTTTGAAGTTGAAATTATGTGAAAGATGTTAAGGAGTAAAAAAATAAGTTAGAAATCACTTTACCAATCGTTTTGAAGAAGTAGAACTTTTGGGAAAATCGCCTTATGTTTTGGGTTGAAAAAGTAAAAAATGACTAAAAAATCCCGACTTTATATACTGTACTGGGAGACCCGGCGCGGGACCGCCACAAAAATGCCCCGCGGCCGCGCCGAAGGAAAGGGGGGGAAACCCACTCTTCTGAAACCTACCAGCACGGACCGCAGCATGATTTGGTGCGCGGCGCGCTTGGAGGAATGGATCAAAATTCCCACTCTCTGAATCTCCCAGCGCGGACCGCGTGATATGGCAGGCGGCCGCGCTGGCGACCTAGGACTACTGCCCTCTGAACCTAACCACGCGGACCGCGCAGAAATGCACCGCCGGCGCGCGGCTTCCAGCGCGGACCGCGGAAATGACCGCGCCGCGCTGGGGGCCTTGCAACACCTGGACCTGCAAATTTCTGATACTTCTAAGCCTAAGACCTCCCGGGACCTACTCAAAACTCACCCGAGCCCTCGGGGGCTCCAAACCGAACATACATATAAACTTCAAAACATCCTACGACTCAACCGTGCGATCAAATCGCCAAAACAACATCGAATTAGGCCTCAAGGACCATGATTCCTTCCAATTTTCCATGAAACATCAAATTTACTGCTTCTAGCTCAAAACACGTCAAATGACGTTCCAAATCTAACCAAACTTCACAGCAATTGCTTAACTCATATTTAAGACTTGTGCCGGACGTCGAGAACCAAAATACGAGCCCAACAGCACGGTCTTCTAAACAAATAACACCTTCCAATTCTTTAATTATTTTCAGAAAACAATTTCACGTAAAAACTCATTCCTCGGACCCGGGACCTCGGAATTTTGATTCCGGGCACACCCCCAAGTCTCATATTTTCCTACGGACCCTCCGGGACTGTCGAATCACGAGTCCGGATCCGTTTGCCCAAAACGTTGACCGAAGTCAACTTAATTAATTAAAACATCAAAATTTTATTATTTTTCTCAAAAATTCATATTTAAACGTTCCGGCTACGCGCCCGGACTGCGCACACAAACTCGAGGAAATCCCAAGTGAGGTTTTCACGGCCTCAGAAATACAGAGTGAGTAGGAATATAGGTGATGACCCTTTGGGTCGTCATATGGAGTTATCCAAAAATTAGGTATCAATTAAATTATTTTTAAAAGTTAGTACAAATCTAATAGATAGCGTAAAACTGGGCGCCACATCAAAAAATTTCGGATACGTTTGAGGACACATACATCCATAGGCTGAAGGAAAAACATAGCCCCCAAAAAAAATAGCAAAGGAAAGGATATTATTAGTTAGTACTAAAAGTATATTTTAAGCGTATGTGGTTTGAAACCAAAATACTAAATATTGGATAGAGGTTAAAATCTGCTGTAGAAATTAGTTTCCAGAAGTAATATTATCATGTGAGTAGTATCTTTTAAGTGTATCTATTTGGTGCTATGTATTGAAGAAGGCAACAGTGTTCATTACATGAATAGAAAATCTACAGAATTTAGCTGGGCCAATCTTTTTACCCATTGCTGAAACATAGGAGTCTTTCTCTATTACCACATGTTAGATTATTCCGCTTGTTTTTTTTATTATTTTGATGTGTTGCTATTGCTTTCTTTTCATCTTTATTTGAGTCGGGGCTCTATCAGAAACAACCTCTCTATCATAATTGTAGGGATAAGATCCGCGTACATACTACTTTTCCAAACCCCACTTGCGAGATTATACTAAGTTTGTTGTTGTTGTTGCTGCTGAAACATAGGAGCCTTTTTCTATTACTCTACATGTTGATCATTCCGCTTGTTTTCTTATTATTTTGCTGTTGTTATTGTTTTCTTTTCATCTTTCTTTGAGTCGAGGGTCTATCAGAAATAACCTCTTTACCCTCAAGGTAGGGGTAAGATCTGCGTATGCACTATCTTCTTCAAACCTCATTTACGGAATTATACTGGATTTATTGTTGTTAGTGAAACATAGGATCTTAAGATCAATGATTAACAAAACAAACCAAGACACCAAGATTGACTATATTAAGATAGTGATAAATGTTTCCTTGTAAGCAGCATTACCTCAATTTCCAGATGTATAGCCTTCTCATCTTCCACGTAGCTTAGCTAAGCTTACTTTGCTTCCTTCACAGCTTGCAGTATCAAATTTTCTTCTTCAGTTCGTCATCCAATGAAAAGAATTTCTAAAATTATAGAGCCTAAGTCAGAGATTACATCTCGTAGTGGGGTTTTTTTCAGTATAAATTAAGGCTCAGTTGAAAGAAAGTTTCATTCTACTCTCAAAAGTCTTTCTTGTTGGATAGTAAAAGAAGTTCCAAGAATATGAAGCTCAATAATACCCTAATTCTGCTAGCACTTTTATGTGCATCTCTTTTTCTTGCTTCAACTTTAGCAGTTGATGAGAAATCTCAAGATGAGAAAAAAGGTAATGTTTACAGTACCTCTAAAATTTGCTTAAACATATACACTATTGATTTCTTGGCTTACTTTAATATAGTTTAGTTTAGAAATTATTTCTTTTTCATCCATCTTGATGTTATATTGTGAACTAATCTTTCACGCAATGACAAGAAATAAAAGATAGGAGTACTTTATATGATCTGTTTTAAAAGGAATAATATCTTAATTTTTATATTAAAAATCTTTGACGTTGGATTTTTCATTTTACTCTTAATGACACGCTCTTATAATTATAAGAATGTCATAATATATTTGAAATCACAACTAAGAATATCTTTTATACCCGTTAAACTTTAGTCTTTTTTTTTAACTTAACCATATAGAATAAAATGCGAAGGAGTACTAAGTATAGTAGTTAGCAATATTAGTTCCATGCACTAAGAAATACAATATGTTTTATGTATGTAGCAGCAAATGAAGGCCAGACAACTGTTCAATTAGATGCCGCAAAACAAGGCCAAGGCGGCTATGGAGGCGGAGGTCATGGTGGCTATGGAGGCGGTGGTCATGGAGGTGGCGGTTATGGTGGTGGTGGTTATGGAGGTGGAGGCTATGGAGGCGGTGGTCATGGAGGTGGCGGTGGTGGCCATGGTGGTGGTGGTCATGGAGGCGGTGGCCATGGCGGTGGTGGCCATGGCGGAGGGTGCAGATACGGGTGTTGCGGCGGATATGGGAGAGGAGGAGGCTGCAAGTGTTGCTCTACTGCTCAAGAAGCTCTGGCCTACATGCAAAAAGAAGCCAATCGCCCATAAATGAAGAACCTAAACAACTTCTAATTATGTCAATCTGCTTTTGTAATAAGTCCAAATAAAACTACGTACGTTTCTTGATTTCTAGCTTTTAGCCTAATGCAGTTGCATGCATGTGTACTGGAAATGATATAGCAAATATGCAATAAATATCAGTATTTTATTCTCTCCATATCCGACCCTAATTTTCCTCCATAAATGTTCCCATAATTTCCCCAAGCTCGAACCAAGGGCGGAGCTAGAGTGCCGCCAGCGGGTTCGGTAAATTCAGTAGCTTTGGTTTAAACCCTGTATTTGTCTTAAAAAATCCATTGAATATGTATAAATTATTAATTTAGAACTTAGTAATTAAGCTTGAAATCTTGGCTCCGCCTATAATGCGAACAAACAAATCATATTATAACAAACAATTCTACAAGCCATAATTAGATTTTTTTTTTTAAAAAAAAGAAACTAAAGTCCCACGGCATGTGCATGCTTTTATTGATCAGAAAATTACAAGGAGGGGGATATAGTCTTACCTCCGTACAAAAGGTGAAAGATATGAAACAAGGCATATGACATAGGTAGCTTCAACCAGAGGCGGGTCTAGAGTATTAAGAGTGGGTTCGAGTAATTGGACTCATTATTTTCAGTATATATGGATCATTAATATATACTATGTGGAAAACTAGGGGTGTGCATTCGAATCGGTTTATCGATAAATCGAATCGATTATTTGTTATCGAAATCGAAATCGAAAAAATCGAAACCTTATTGAAACGATAACGATAAGCATATGTACAAATCGATAATCGATAAGTAATTATCGATAAGGGTCAAAATCGAATCGATAAATCGAATGCACACCCCTATGGAAAACCCTGAAAAGCAGACATATTACGTTTTGATTTGAACCCATATGGTCGATTATTAAAGAAGAGAGGATTTTGAACTCGCTTTTAAGTTTTAATAGTAGATCTGTCTCAGGATTTTCCAGCGAAGGAGGTACAGATAAATCCCATTCGCCCCTATCTCTGCCCATATACCAAACCACACGACATTATTACTATATCTAGCGAGGAAAGCGAGCTTGAACGCAAACGATGTCCACATATGTACCTAGTGCAATTTAACTCGTGATATATATATATATATATATATATAAAAATAAAGATTGTATACAATATTAGTGTAGGTCAATATGTGATAATAGCCAGTAGGTAAGTTACTATTTTTAATTACTATGTACCAATTAATGATCTCATCAGATCTATTGGTGATGAATTTATAAATGACCCGATTATATAAATATTTCTTTGTACTCCCTCAATGCATAGACCTTCAACTCTTGTGTGTAGTATGGTATGGGTATAATATATATATATATATATATATTATTATATATATATATATATATATATAATATATATATATATATAATATATATATAGATTAGAAAGAACTACATAAATGGAAAATTTCGTTTTCCTAATTAACCTAAATGTTCAATCACTTTCAATGATCTGGAACTGGTTCTTGACCAAACTGACCTACTAACTTGTTTAGGTTTATCTGAAGTGGATAAAAAAAAAAAGTGAATTGCTTTTGCCCGATACTACTAAACAGGAAAGCTAGTAATTACATTATGAACAAGATCATTGATGATACCTACAAGTATTGAATCAAGTTAATATCGAGACTATACATTAGTTTAGGGAAGCTAATCAAGTGACGGATCATAAGGTCAAGTCCTTCTCTTGTACTCAATTTCAAGTAATAAAAAGTTAACTCGAGAAACTTCAAAATTAAAGGGAAATTAGGTAAAGAGATGAAAAAACTCCTAACTTCCCATGCTTCCACACACCCACATCTCATCCCAAACTTTTGAACCCTTTAACATAATTTTCTCTATAAATACTCATTATAACCTACCCCATAACTCAAACAAAGATTTTCCACTTCCTTTCCTCAAGAAAAACAAGCAATTTTTTAGTAACCGTGGCGTTCAGGCCCAGCTTACCGTATTCTTCCCAATCATTGTTACAATGGCTATTTTCAAGAATGGCTTTGTCTTTTGCTTGGTCATGACCTTGTTACTCTCAAGCATTAGCCTTAGCTTTGCAACTCGTAGTTTATTGCAAATTCCACTGCCCACTATTCCATCTTTGCCACAATTGCCAAACATTTCAACAACATTGCCATCTTTGCCAAACACAACTCTCCCTACTTTGCCAACAATTTCAACTACTACTATCCTTAAGGTCACTTTGCCTCCTTTGCCTTCAATTCCCACTATTCCAAATATTTCTACTCCATCGCCACCTCCATCGAACTAATTTTGAGTTATTGCACCACTATTTACATGTACCTATTGTTTTACATATTCCCCCTTTGGACTTGACCTGTTTCTCCAGAATAACACTTAAACTTTGCAGGGATCCTATGATCCCTCTATATTTGTTCAAAATGATATAAATACCACTTTTTACGACTAATTTCAGATTCAAGGAATGTTGTATGTTTCACGCACCAATAATAAATTGCCACGTAATTTTTCCCTTTCTAGTGTTATTTTTACTTTCTTTTGTGTTCTATTTTTATTTTTTATTTTATAGTCTTCTTATTACTTAATACAATGTTTATCTTCTCCTCCAAGGTACGCTTCCCTTTCCGATAGGTCCTTCCCGACCGGTCGATTTTCTTGCTTTCTTCTTTTTTCTTTTCTTTTCTCTTCTTACTTTTTCATTCTTTGCAATTGGTGAAATTTCAGATCTCCAACTAAGTGATTGCTTCAAATTTCAGATCTTTGAACTTGGTCCCCATTTTTCCCGGCAAAGAGTTTGTTGTAATTTTGTTAGCATGGTGAATTTTGAAGAATTCACAGAAAATCCAAGCAATTCAGCACCATCAATCTATTGCACAAATAAAAAATATTAACAAACGCCAAAATTATCAATAGCAAGAAACTCTATTTAGATTCTAAAAAAAAAAAAAAAAAAACGAGCGCCCCAACATAAAACCTGAATAAAAGACTGAATGCGACAAAAAGCAACCTTACCAAAAAAAAAAAAAAATAGATCTTGTTTATATTATGTTTGCGGATTAGTAATGGCGAAGAAAATGGGAAAAAAAGGGGGTAATGAAGAAGGAGAAGGCTGAAGGAAGCCATGGTTTCATGCCAAACAGAAAGAAAAAAAGGAAGAGTAAAAAAACAAAAAACAAAAACTAGAAAAATTAATATTTAATGAAAGAAATGCTGATAAAAATAACTTATTAATAATTTTTTTTACCTCTCACTGTCTTCAAGAGAGTGATATGCCACATCAGCCTAAAAGGTTGTACTTCCCCAACAAAGTATAAGGGTGCATCTATAATCTGCTACAACCTCAATATGATAATTATGTACTATCCCTATTGTTTACTTATAATATTTTTATGGAATATGTGACCATTGTGTTCTTAGAGCTTTAAGGGTTACTGGATTTTGGTGCTGAGTTTGAGGATATATATTTGTACTTGAGCAGCGTGATTATTTATATCCTTGGCATGTTTGTACTAGTGCATGCATTATTTTACTAGTAATAATACTATTATTGTTCGACTTTACTTTTCAATCTCTTTCAATTTGCTCAGCCTTTTTTATGTTAAGGATGAAATACTGCATTTGAAAAGTCCAGATACAACAATTATGAGCAGCCATAGAATCAGGGTTCAAATAATGCGTCATAAAATGATACGAAAGTAGTTAAATATAGAAATTTTTATCTCCTATAGCAAAGGTTGATACCTTATTTATTTTAAATAAATACCCTTTTAAAAAATTATATTCCATAGCTACCTTTTGGTTTTTATAGCCAAATATCTATTTATGGTCACCTCCTACCCTTAAGCCATAAAATACGCTTTGTATTATTTTTCTCCCTCATCTTTCAGATTTTTCTCCACCCTCTCTCTCTCAACGCTTTGTATAATAGCTAACGAGTTCTCTCCTGCTCCGTGAAGGAAATCCAATAGCAAGTTGATTCCGGAAATTCCTGCCTAGTGAAGCAGGATTGGAAAATACAACCTCGTAAAATAATTCCTCTTCCTCTTCACGCTATTTCTCTACCACTACCTCTCTCATATCATAAACACGCAACCTAACAAACGTTTCCTCACCTAGGGTTCTCGATCGAAGCGGGAACAGTGAAATTTTGAGTCAGAATCGCGGCCCTCTCGACGAGACGACATTAGGGTTGTTCTTGAACAAAGACGACGGAGTTTGGGACTGAAATACAGCGAGATACATTGAAATACAATAAAAAAAAAGACAATGAATACAATGACTCTTCCTCTTCACGCTATTTCTCTACCACTACCTCTCTCATATCATAAACACCCAACCTAACAAACGTTTCCTCACCTAGGGTTCTCGATCGAAGCGGGAACAGTGAAATTTTGAGTCAGAATCGCGGCCCTCTCGACGAGACGACATTAGGGTTGTTCTTGAACAAAGACGACGGAGTTTGGAGCTGAGCAACTTGAAGATTCTGTTACCTTTTTTTAATTGTATTTCAATGTATCTCGCTGTATTTTCATGTATTTCATTGTATTCATTGTCTTTTTTTATTGCATTTCAATGTATCTCGTTGTATCCCATGTATTTCATTGTATTCACTGTCTCGCTGTATTCCATGAATGTATTCATATATTTTTTTTTAATTAATATAATTTATGGATTCGGATGTATATATGTATTCAAATGTATCTGCAGTATGTATTCATATGTTTTTGCACTATAGATGAATCTCGAATTTTATTGGATGAAAACAGAAACACCCACGAATGATATCAACAGAAAAGGGAAGGATTAGAAACTCGACGATTGCTCTATTTTGTTGTATTTATCGGCTGGGAAAAATATTCAGCATATTTCGCATCAAATACAGATTATGGGTGATGTAATTAAGTTAGTTGAGTTATATTAGGAGTCTATTGTGTTAATTGATTCACTTTCCGTTTAAAAACGACTGAATAGACCACGATTTGCGCAATTTACGTTACTGTATTCACAAATACATATCGTGAATACAGTCGAATACAATAATTGTCTAAGCTGGAATCCCCTGTTTCACGCCGAGTTTGCTACTGTATTCATGAATACAATAGCTTAAATACATCGAATACACTCTAAAAAAATTGAAAACATAGCTATAGGAAGTTATATAGTAAATGCTAGCTACAACTAGCTAATAACCACTAAGCAATAGTGGTTTGTGAAAATTTCTCTTAAATATATATTAATAGACACTGTAGGGAAAATTTCACATAAGAACAACTGGGCTCCCTACTTTTCAATTTTATAGCCCATATCTCAATTTACAACCAACTAGCCCAAAAATAATAGGCTAAGATTCAACATCTAACTCCAATAGGTTCTCAAAATTACTATTTAATTTTTAAAAAAGATTGCTCAAGCTTTTAAGTTAATTTTCGAATCAGTAACTGTGACTCAAATATTAGTTCAACAAACTAAATCCATTTGGGTGGTGAAAATTAGAGTTTTAACAAGCTTAAATATGTTGGTTTAAATTCTTAATTTTATTTTGCGAGAAATTTGGAGTGGGTGTTATTTAGACTTGTTAGAAATAGTATAAGGAGGTTGTACATAAAATTTGAAGTCATTTAATGGAGATTTGGACTGGTTCTGAACAAGAATTGCAACTGAAAATCGTGGAAGAAGTTCGTCTACAGACATTTGTATAAATGTGTATAAAAGTGTATAATAGTGTATAAGATGTGTTTATACACTCATATACACTATTATACAAGATTATACATAATAATACAAAAAACTGACTTCGTCTTCTTCTTTGCGTCTTTTCTGAAATTTAACTCAAATCTTGCTCAAATCTACTCCAAATCACTTCAAACTTAAATTTTGAACTCCTTTTGATATTTTTAATCAATTGGAACAACACCCAATCCAAACAACTAACAAACTCAAAAAATTCTATTTTTGAAAGCAAAGCTTTGAATAGCCTTCAATGGTGGACTTCTACTCTTCAATTTTTTTACACTGCAACCAGGTGACATAGGGGAGAAGTAGTATGGCGGACGGCACCTTGAATCATATGTAAAAGATGTGAGAAGAAGAGAGAGTAAAAGCAATGGTTGTAAGAACACAGATTTAACTCCACAGCTTTTAGAAGCAATGGTTGTAAGAAAACAGATTTTGAATTTGCAAGAGCTAGTGTTTCCAAATGGAATTTTTACTTCCTATAGAACAGGTTAACCCCCTATTTATTTAAAATAAATACCATTTAAATAAATTACCTCCTATAGATATGTTATATGATTTATAGCAAAATTTCTAATTTTGGGCATCTCCTACACTTAAGCCATTATACACGCTATGTTTTATTTCCCTCTCTCCATTCTCTAATTTTCTCTCTCATAGATACCGTTTTCCATACAACTTCTCAATACAAGTTCTCCCTCTCTCTCTATATTGATACAATCTATTTTTCATTCCAAATCCCCTGTAATCGCGCTAAAAATCAGAATCCTCCTCACCCACAACGCTGCTTCCTCCTTCCCCAATCTCGGGTAAACTTTAATTTCATCTACATTGTAATGACTTATTTCTATAAGTAGTGTGGTAAGCTTTTTTTTTTTTTTTTTGCCATTTTTGCTTATTCTCAACATCTCTACTCACCAAATTGTATCTAATCAACAGTACCCAAGTCGTATTCTCACAATGTCTGAGAATACACCCCGCAAGTTGATTACTAGAGGTATACCCACTAAAATTCTCAATTTCGATGGTCCCTCTTTCTCCTTGCAAATCACTCAAGGGGAATTGGATGCAGGTTTAGCCAAAAATATGGCTTTGGAGAAGAGAACAAAAGCTCGACATGAAAATCTCAAAGAAACACAAGTCGAGAAATCAATGAAGGAGACAAGACTTCCCATTCCTAAAAAGAGGAAAATCCATATCTCTGAAGCTTCATCTGTCAAGGGGAAGGAGGTTGAAGCAAGTAAAAGCTCAGATAAAGTCGAAGAAAAGGTATTTTTCTGATGTATTCATCTGTATTATTCATGTATTCAGTTGTATTTATACGTATGTATATGTATTCTGATGTATTTTTATAATTGTATTTTTAAGGATTTTCAAGGTTCCCATCAATGTTTTTTATTCTAATTTCAATGAATTTATTTGTTGTGTTCAAATGTTTAATTTTCCAGTCTGTATTTAGTTGTATTCATATGTATTCATGTTAGATATATTTATGTCATGTGTCTTGTATGCAGTTGTTTTTATATGTATTTAGCCTTGTCAGTGTATTTAGTTGTATTCGTATGTATTCATGTCAGATTTACTATGATTTATGCGTTGTATTCAGTTATATTTATACTTCTAAGTGTTTGAAGTTGTATTCATATGTATTCATGTCAGATTTACTGTGAAATATGCAATGTATTCAGTTGTATTTAAATGTATTTATTCTTGTTAAATGCAGGGAATTAAGTTTTTTGTGAAACACCAGCCAATATTTGCACCGCATATCAGTGTATGTACTAACACTGACATAGTCTCCGAGCTAAAAGAGAATCTTACTCCAGAGCAGTACAAACAACTGGTAATACTTGCTTTGGAAATTTTCTTCAAATGAAGCGTTGTGAAGTCCAACATCAACTCTTCAGAGCTTCATGGCTCTCCAGTTAGAAGGAACTCCTAACAATATATTTGCAATACACGTCAATGGTACTTCATTACATTTCACATTAAGGGAGTTTGCGCTTGTGACTGGCCTCAAATGTGTTGGTAATGATGCTGATTTTGAGTTTAGTGAAAAGGTTCCTAACCGGCTTATTGAGACTTACTTTGGAGGTGCTAATCTTGTCAAGAAGAAACATTTGTGAAATGCTTTGCTGACAAGAATTGGGGTCCCGACAATGATGGTGATGCCTTGAAGATATCTTTGTTGTATTTCATACACACCTTCATTTTTTCATCCGAGAAGAACAGCACAACCATACCAAGGCTACATTTTGACTTGGTAGAGAGTGGGCGCTATTCTGAATATCATTGGGGTTTAAAAGTATTTGAAACGCTGACAAAATCGATTAGCAAGAAGATGGATGCTCAGAAGAAGTATTACAAGATAGCTGGGATGCCCCTAGCTATGCAAGTGTGGTTTTATGAGTGCTGTTCAGATGTTGATTCCAAAATTGCACTCCGAGTTGATAACGTGGTCCCAAGAATACTAAATTGGAAAACCACCGGAAATCAGCCAAACTTTGCTTATCTGATGAACGACATGTTCAATGACAACGGAAACATGGTAATATACCATTTGTATCATGGATAGCTTATATTTTATTAATAATTAGTTCTTCATACATTTGCATACAGAAGTATACAGTTGCCTACAGATACATTTTGATGTTGTAATATCATGGCTAGTTTATATTTTATTAATAATTAATTCTGCATACATTTGCATACAGAAGTATACAGTTGCATACAGATACATTTTTGATGCTATAATACCTGCTGTAATACCTGTTGTAGTTTCTGCTGTAGTTTCTGCTGTAATACCTGCTGTCATATTCTCACATGTATGCTGCATACACTTGCATACAAATGCATACAGATGATGCATACATTTGCATACAGGATACTGCATACATTTGCATTCAGATGCATATAGCAGTATACAGTTGCATTCAGATGCATAAATATGCTGCATACACTTGTATACAAATGCATACAGATACTGCATACATTTAAATACAGCTACTGCATACATTTGCATTCAG